GTTTAGATTTTATTGTATTGGTGGGGGGGATGGGGAATTGAGGAGGGAGCAGGGAGGGGGTTGACTGCTGTGTTCTAGAAATAGCATTTCACAACTGTCGTTTCGTTTATGCTTATGGAATTTACATTTCCTAAGTTTTAGTTGAGAAAATGAGTTGCAAGTGGGTTAAGCAACTTTTTAAAAGATACCTGACTTGTACATGTTAAATCAATTCAAGTTCAAGTACTCTGGCCTTTCTGCCTTAAATTATATTTCATTGAAGCTAAGTTTGTTACACTAAACTAGCAATAGCTTTTTTCTGTGGAACACTATTTAAAGTTGCAGGACTTTAAAAATAGTTTTATTTCTCTAAATATATTTTTTGTGTTAAGCATATATTTAATTTCAGTCATATAAAAAAAACGATAAGGATTTTATTATTTAGAAATAGAATTAAAAATCTCAAAAATACTGTTGACCTCAGTTATTATGATGTGGTTGTGAGAACCTTCTAATTATAGCTCCCGAGGATGCAGTTCTTACCAGTTGATCACAACTCCATCATTTTGCTGTTCACAAATAATTTCCCCATATCATTGTCAGACCAGAGACTCCAGATTTCTTTGTCTTGTTTTGCCCTTGATTTGTATCTAAGTTAATTTCCCCCCAACTTCTTCAATAAGTTTTGAAAGCTGAATTTCATTCTCATACAAAGGTAAATTGCAGTGATATGCTACCTGTCAGTTTCTTCAAATGAATCGTAATAGGTTCCTGATGAAAGTTCATAAAAATCTCTTTTGATATGACACTGATATTCTTTTCATATGCATTGTCACTAAATGATGGTAAGATAATTCGTGGTCTCAACTAAAGACCCGACTTTCCCCAAAAAAGAATCCATGAAATTGTTAATCAAAAATTAGTCTATTAAGACTACAGTCAGAAATGAATGGGAATCATTAAGTTTTTAATCCAGTTTTTACTTATTATGTCCATTTAATATTATTCCTGAAACAGTGACAAAAATATTTAACACATTAGAGGTGAGTATTAAAATTGTATGTAAAATGCCATATAGCTTATTTAAAACATAATTTGAAGTCATATATTTCATAATTTGCTTGGAATATTTCTAAGCAATCTAAAACACATACACAATTTATATTATTTTTATATCAAATGAATATATAGAAGGTGAATGGTAGAATCAATTACTTATGTCTCATAGAAATGACTGAATATTGTTGGAAAGAAAAGATGGGAGAGAGGAGCAAAAGGGAAAGAAGGAAGGAAGGAAGGACTGGAAATTAGCATTATGAAGTGCACTTTGTCTTGCTTTGAAAGGTTTTATATTATATGTAGAAGTCATAAACACCAAACTTAATTTCTTTTCCCAGTTGGAACAAAAAGACTTCTTATGTCAATTTTAAATTGAAAATCTCTTTCAATTCTTCAAACAGTTGGTTACCTGAATGTTTGTAATTTGAATTAAAAGTAGGATGATTTCCAAGGAAGAACTGAGATTTTAAAATTCAGGTCTCTCAAATGGGAATAGGAGAGCAGTTCTCTGTTTGTGAAATGCATTTCCTGCTGTTTTCATTAAACAGTAACTNAATAGGAGAGCAGTTCTCTGTTTGTGAAATGCATTTCCTGCTGTTTTCATTAAACAGTAACTGTGCTTTTTTCCAACCTTTGGCTCATAAAAATAGAAAAAAAAGATCAAATCCAAGTCAAATGGTTGGAATTTTAGGAAGAGCTGTCATATTTTAGCAAAATGTCAAGTACTTAAATGCAGATGGTTTATGTTCACTGCAATTTTTAGAGCGGCATTCCTTGGACTGAAGCTGTTATTGATGAAAGTGATGCACATTACCACCTCCTCAGGAGCTGGAAGAACTCACCCATGGGAGAAGTTTAAAAGCAATGAAAGCACCTGCTCCGAACCAGGGAGGATACTGTCTGGAAACGTAAGCTGTTTGCTTCCTTAGCTATGCCATCCGAGCTATTTAATAAAGAACATATAAACAAACAAAGCATGTTAGACCTCTACATACAGCAATAGCAGACAATTGAACAAACAAGTTTAAAGTGTGTTTATTAATATATTTGCAATGAGTTTTATTTTAATTTATCTTTATTGTTGAAAGTATTATAAACGTCCCCTTTTTTGCCCCATTGACCCCTTCCACCCTGCACCCACTCCCCACCCCAGGCCTTCACCACACTATTGTGTCCATGGGTTATGCATATAAGCATATAAGTTCTCTGGTTAATCTCTCCCCACCCACTCACCCACCCCCACCTTCCTGCTAAGATTCATCAGTCTATTATGTTCTTTAGGTTCCACATATAAGTGAAATCAAGTAATATTTGTCTTTCTCTGCCTGGCTTATTTCACTTAGCATAATGCTCTCCAGGTCCATCCATACTGTCCCAAGGGGTACAAGATCTGTCTTCTTTACAGCTGCACTGAGTGGATAAAAAAGCTGTGGGACATTTACGCCATGGAGTACTATACAGCTGTAAAGAAGAAGGATCTCTGCAATGAAATTTGAAAAAATTGTACCTAATCACATATTTACTGTTCATTTTTTCCAGTTAATTTAAGTGATGTTAAAGTATTTTCAATTACAAAATATTACATTTTGTTTCCAATATCCTTATTTTCAAACACATTTTTGTATTTATTAACACATTTTTAACAAAATTCAATCCCTGTATTTGTATAGTATTGAAATTATGGCAACAATTCTAATCTAGAGATCTGTATAAAATGTGTGTAATGGAGCACTGTGTTAAAGTAAAAAAAATAGTTTCTGGTTGATCTGGAGAGACAGAGTAGGTAAGATGAGAAACTTTGGAGCCCAACTATCCAGTTTCCATCCAAGAATTTCTTTAAGAGTAACTCTCAGATGGTAATATATAAGATCTACCAGCATTATTTTCAGATTTTCTATATGAGCATGTGCCTGCTCACTAAAATGTATTTTTGTAAACCCCAAATCAATGCTCACAGTGCTTCATGGTCATTAGTGGACCCACGCACATACTGATAAAAAATTTGAGTCACCTGACATACACATTTTCATCTGAGGTCCAACAGAGTGACGCTCTGCCTTTTCCTATCTACTATAATGGATTTCAGTGGAGGGAGAGGGTCAAAAAGCAGGTATTCACAAGTAAATGTGTTTCATATCGGTGTCATATTTGTTCTTTGGCAACACTGGATTTTAAACTGCAAAGTATTGAGGGGAATTATAATATTATTTATTTTTTGTATTTATTTTTGCAGGGGATTATTTTTAAACTGGTATTATGTACTCAGGAAAAATGTCAAATGTAAGGCTAAGTAAATAGATTTGGAAAATGCAAAATAGTACTAAAGAATTCAAGCATGGTGTCTAGTTGTTTTTTGTTTTTAATAAAAAACAAAGGAAAATAGATTCCAGGAATTTTTAAATTAATTTAAAAAATGCAACTGAAAGTAATGTTAGATGATTCTTGCACCATACAAATTCTAATAGAAATCTGGCCAATTCAGAGACCATCATTTTTAATAAAGTGGATTTTTATCTTAATGAAAGGAATTAAAGGCATATAATTATTCTGTGAAATACAATGACTAATCAAAATAAAATTCAGAATAAAACAAATTATCCAAGTAGAAAATGAGAAATTTGACCCAAACATAGATAGAACCTTTGCTGACAATGCTGTACCCTAGTTTTGGACTTTCAGCCTCCTGAACTGTGAGAAATAAATTTCTGCTGTTTATAAGCTACCCAATATATCATATTTTGTTATAGTAACCCCAACAGATAAAGACAAAGGCTAATCATTTTAATAAATAAACACTACCTATTTTTATTGAATTTATTGGGGTGACATTGGTTAATAAAATTAGATAGGTTTCAGGTGTACAATTCTATAATGCACCATCCATATATTGTATTGTGTGTTCACTACCCCAAGTCAAGGGTCCTTCTGTCACCATTTATGCCCCCTATTTTCTCTAAACACAGCATATTTAAAACATAATGAGGCTGTTTGAAGGAACTTTTGAATATAGCATCATAAACACTAAAATCAGGATTTAGGCAATGAGCCTTTAAAGGAATAAACTTATATGTTTGATGAGCATCTTGAGTATCTTAACAGAGTTTTGTGGGGGGTTTTTTGTTTTTGTTTTTTTAAATGAACCTCAAAGTGTAAAACAGTATTCTGGCGACCTGCAGATTATCTCCTGACACTGGCTTTTCTTACCATGCAGGCCTTTAATCTCTGATTTCCACTCAGGACAAGAGTGGTAAGTATCAGTCGTCTACACTTCCATTTTGAGAGCAGGAACATGGTAGTAGAAGTTTAAAAAGAAGCAAGTATGAGTGGTTTGGCAGGGAATTAATATACATGGATCAGATTCTAATATCAGTAGAACTAATGGTAATGGTTTTTTCTATTACATTACATAATCAAGATGCATCACTAAATTAATATGTAAGAAATACAGAGCTTTTCAATCTTTTATAAGCCTCTCATTTCAGCACTTGTAGAAGCCAATTTCCATACTCATTTCTCTGGTACTAGTAAATCAAATTGAAGTGCTACAATTTATCCCTGACTAACCTATTCGATATTAAATATGCTCTTGGAACCAACTATAACAAATATCACATTCATAAATGAGTACTGCTGGGACTGTTCTCAAAACGGCCAAAATAATTGACTTTTTTTGGTAGTTTTGTCTAATTCTAATTTTTATTTCCATCTTTAAGCTACTGTTGTTCAGTTTGTTTACCATAAGTTAAACATGTTGTTTTATAGAGAAATATCATTTGTATAAATAAGCAGCCCTTCAATTGAAATAATAATGTCAATCACTGTGGACTGTATTTAGTGTATATATATCATATAATTCCAATAAATTATCCTGAGATGTTATTAAGAAATTTATTTAGTAAGAATTATGATTTCAAAGCCTAAGATTTGTATATTTACTATCTAGTAATCGTCTTTGTGATTTACAAAATAAAATATTTTCATTGCATAAATACATTTTATTAAATTTTTCTAAAACCAGTTTATAAATGATAATTACAGGCAAACCATTACTACAGAAAAAATATATAACTTAGTTCCTAGTGTCACTGCTGATATTCACTATATATACATGTATGTGTGTGTGTGTGTATGGAACAAACTAGGTAACCTGACTTGCTTAGTACTTTTGTTGCTAATTTGCATTTATGATCCTTGCCGCTTTAATAGTACATGTTTTTTCCCCATCAAAAATATTTAAAACGAAGGTGAACTGTAATGGTCCATTTTCTCACCATTGTAACTACTGTATATGTGTATCATGTGCTAGATTAATAATAGGGAATGTAAGGCTGATTGGGTGATTATGATGTGCCAAGAACTCAGCCAACCCTGGCACTTTCTCACAACAACCTTGTAAGAGATAACGCTTTACTCCTCTCTGCAGAAGGGGAAAAGGAAGAATAATGGAAGAACGGATCGCTCTGGGCATTGTTGCCAAGCTGGTGTGGCTCAGCGGTTGAGCATCAACCTAGGACCCAGGAGATCGCAGTTCGATTCCCGGTCAGGGCACGTGCCCAGGTTGCGGGCTCCATCCCCAGTCGAGGGCGTGCAGGAGGCAGCCGATCAATGAGGACTCTCTCATCATTGATGTTTCTCTCTCCCTTCCTCTCTTTCAAATCAATATATATTTTTAAAACAAGACCACGTTGTCATGAAAGTAATCACAAATCACAATCCAAATCTCTATATAAATATATCAAAATATTAAATTAAGTCAATTATGCACTTGTTAATACTCAAAGAAAAATATATTTTCTTTAGTGCATGGATATTGTATTAATTAACGATAAATTGAAACCCCAGTATGTTACTACCTACTACTGTTTTGGGGTGTGTGTGTTGTATATGACCAAAACCACAATGCTTGTCTTCAAAAGCAAAGCAAAATGAACAAAACCTAGTTGGCCTCTATTCTGTTTGCTTCCAGTCAGTTCCATTCACAATAACCACACTCAAAATTCTGGAACAGACGTCATTTATAAGCTTTCTTTACTTATCTTTCTAACCCATATTTATTTTTCTCAGCTTCATGGTGATTATGAGGAGTCTACTGGGCTTCAATGAGAAGGCTGTATACTTCTTGTGCATTAAATCTTGACCCCCCCAAAAGGTATGTTCAATCCTAATCTTCAGTATGTGATTTTATTTCGAAGTAAAGTCATTTGCATGTAATTAAGATGTAAATTAAGAAGAGGTCTTAGGATTCAGGATGAGTCCAAATCTAATCACTGGTGTCCTTTTAAGAGAGACAAAGATGCACAGACACACACAGATAATGCCGTGTGAACATGGTGGCAAAGATTGGCGCAGTGCATCTACTTACGAAGGATTGCCATCAAACGCCAGAGCTGAGACAGGCAGGGGACACGGTATCCCTTAGGAGCTCCCAGAAGAATCCAATCTTGTTGACACCTTGTTGATCTCTGACTTGTAGCCTCTAGAACTGTGAGAGAATAAATTTTTGTTGTAAGCCACTCAGCTTGTGATTCTTTGTTATGGCAGCCTTAGGAAACTATACCATACCCTTGACCTAAACTTTCCCGTAAGTATTTTTTTAAATGGCTTTCTCAGCTTTTTTATTGCCATGAGTATTTTTATTCATCAAGCAGTTTTACTTGGCACCATCCCTTGGACTAATCCTTGCAATTCAAGCATATATTACACTGAGAGGTTTTTCATTCAAAGCTCACTTAAGCCTCACCTCTTACCTTTTGGGTCTAAAAGCAGTCAGCTATTCTAATCTTGCAAGTCTCTAAATGTTTAGCTTGACTTTGTTCCCTTTCATGTCTGCTTGTAAATTGGCTCACCTCTCTCCACCCCCTTGCCCCCTGCTTGAGCTCACCCCTTTTTTGCAATAGTTTGTCAGATGCAACCAATAGTAACCAGGATAGCTGGACTACTAAACTTCTATTTTCTAAAATGTATTTCTAAGGTTTCAAACTCAGTAGGCATATATGATTTTTGCAAATTTATCAGACAAGAAAATTAGTAATGCCGTATTTTATTACAGCATTTTTCCAATCTCAAAATTTTCCTTGTTGCTTATGCCCTACTCATTAAACCAATAAGTAAGACGTACCTGCTACTGGCTAACCCAATGCTTAAGGCTTGATATAGCACATAACTCTCCTCACAGATTACTGGTTCTGCTAGCTACATGGACCTTGTTTTAGTTCAGATTCCTGTAACAGAAATGCCATAGACTGGGGAGCTTGAACAAAAATATTTATTTCTCACAGATCTGGAAGCTGGGAAGTCCAGGATCAAGATGCGAGCAGGTTCAGTGTCTGGCGAAGCCTGCTTCCTGGTTTATAGCTGGCTGTCTTCTCCCTGTCACCTCACAGGATGGAAGGGATGAGAGTTCCCCAGGCTCTCTCATAAAGGCACTAATCCCATTTATGAGAGCTCCAACCGCATCACCTAACACCTTCCCAAGGGCCCTATCTCCTAATACCATCACATTGAGGATTACAATTTCAGCATGAATTTTGAAGGGACACCACAGTCAGTCCCTAACAGTCCTGTTAACTAAAAAATGCTGGGAAAGGTGGGTGTCCATATGCCCAAGTTGAAATAGAAAACATGATATTAGAGAACACTGGTAATGCCTACCAAAATATTGCTATGTAAGAATATTTAATTCATATTTCTGATTGATAAAGCGTTCTAAAATTTAAAGGGAAAAATATTTCAAGTATCTAAAATATAGCACCAAAAATTCTGTTATTTTGTGCAATAATAATGAGGTATAGCAATCGTTTCTCAATATTCTAAACATTTGCTAGTAGAGATATTATCTTGGAATTCTGCAATAAGTATTTTACTTTATTTTTTAACATTGTCTGAATAGGAAGTCATGAACAGATAATTAGTGGCATATCTAAAATATATATGCAATTATTTCACCAAACAAAAGTATGTCCCCGTAAATTAAATGTTTATTTATTATATATAATAGGATACATCACATATAATAACATCTATTAGTATATAAAATATTCCTCATTTCAGCCGTGTGTGTAGGTGTGTGTGTGTGTACTCTTCTGAATATTTTGGAATAAATGGCCATTTTAAGGTGGAATCTAGGAGAAACATTAGTCAAATACAATGGCGTATACTTCCAGATGTCTTGTGCCAAGGGCTGTTGGATCTGACGGCGGCACATAAGGTGCACAGCTAGGGGCTCTATGCATCATTTATGCTGGATTATATTTACAAAAACCAGACTGAACTTCTGAATGATCACACTGAATACAATTTCACTACTTTCTCAACATCTGCTCCAAAAAATCTGTATAGCTACCACATGTGATAACTAGAATGCTTCAGACACTTCAAACCTTTTAAACTAGATCCTCTGCAGTGGTCCCTAACTGAATGAGGTATCTTACTGAAATGCTCTTTTACTCCTGAGGAAAATTCTACCTCTATGATTATTTCAAGGAATCTTGTAATTGGCTTAAGGATAAAAATATTGCAAAGTTAGTGGAAACTAAGAGAAAAAAAGTTTGACAACAGAAACCAAACATATAAATGGAAAAAAAACAACAACATATTAGACATTCTGATGAGGCTTAGCAAAAAAGTTTTTTTTTGGAGTTTTAGTTACTAAGTATTCTAGGCAGCTGAGGTGCACTCTTTTAAAGAGATAAGAATCATATTGTTTAAAATATTAAACAAGGAACATTTGATTGGCATAGGTTGATTTGATATTGCTGTCTGCATAATAATAAAATGTCACATTTTTTAAAGACATGACCTGAAATTTTTTCATTTTAATGGCCTGACGTTTTACTTTAGGATATTGTGTGGGGTCAGCGGAGCTTTTATTTCTAATTAGAGGCATCAGTTGCTCATTTGGTTTTGATGTACATTTCCCTAATAATTAGTGACATTGAAAATTTTTTCATCTGCTTTTCGGCCTCTATACATTTCTTATATTTGGAAACGTCTCATTCCTGCTTTATGTAGATGCATTTGAAGTTTATTTTCCCATATATGTGTGTTGTGTTCCCCAGTCTATTGATAATGATGTTCTTGGATAGGAATGCCTGAGGCACTCACCAGTTATACTAATCCACAGAAAGCCCCCAAGAAAATTTCCTGTCACCACCTGGGCCATTGTTGTGGCAAGACCAGCCCTTGTGGTTCTTATGACTGCAGGATGCACCTCAGTTAAACTCTCAGGTCCCTTTAAAGAACAAGATGTATTACTGACAAGTGGTAGAGGAACACGGCGTGCTCCAGGTCCACACAGCGAGGTCGAAGGCAGAGAAAGAGTGAGGGCTCTGCTCTAATTAGGGTCCGAGGGTGGGTGTCTAGGGTCTCCAGGCTTCGCTCTTAAGAGGTGAATTTAAAGTATAGAGCCGACCTAGGGCAAAGGAAGGGAAAAGCAGGGTTACTCAAGCAGTCAGTTATGTAGGTTACCCAGACCTTTCTAGCAGCGGAACCTATTGAGTAGGGCCACCTAGTTGTTTTGCTGGTGGCTGTCCTACAGCTGGCAATGTGTTTATTCAAGATGGGCTTCTTTGAAATGCAAGCCTGTGCAATCAAAAGCTTAATGTCAGGCACTACTATATAAAATAAACTCATTTTAATATTTTAAATATAGTGCAATAGTCAATTGGAGAACAGTTTGAATGCCCAATGTATTTATTTTTGTTTTCTATTTCCAGTATTTTTCTGTCAATGATCTTGAGTTTTCTTCATATTCAAAACACCTTGTCTGCATATAACAATTTATTTTTAGCAGTTATGTGTCTATTTTACAGAACTTTAAAAATCTTAAAGAACAAGCATAATTATTATTAGAATTGTGTAGGCAAGGCTTCAGACTTTTAGTTTATTTGATAAATAAAATGTGATAACTCTTTTCCTTACTGAGTTTAAGAAAGCTGACTTACTCATAAATAGAAAGCTATGCTGATCCATCACCTATAATTTCCACAAAAAATAACATGACATAATTTTATTTCTGTCTGGAATGAGCATGGGCCTTTTACCAAGCTTCTTCATCATCACTGTCTCTCCCCAGAAGAGTGTGATGCAATTTCAATACTGAGAAACCTGGGACTGTGCCCCCTTATGACTTAGCCTCTCCTAGGATTCAACATCAGAAGAAAAAAAAATCTTTTCTAATTTTATCTTCCTGTTCTCTCTCTGGATGATATGAAAAATAATTTTTAATGAAGTGACTGGAAACAAAAGGTTTTAGTGTTACTAGGTACTACAGAAGAACCAAATCCCCAAATTCCTGAATATACTTAATCTCATTTCCTGGATGTAGGTTTTCAAAGTCTTACTCTTGGTGTACCATGAACATCATTCTGCAGCTTCATATTCAGAGAGATTCTTTACTATTGCTTCATACAAAATTATATTTGTGTCATATAATTATTTTTAGTGTCTTATATCCAATAGAAAGCCATCATATATTTCATGTCATCATAAAAACAT